TTGGAAATTCGCTATGATGAGCCGCCCACCACTCTAACAAATTATCCACCTTAAATGTTTCATCTATTTTCTTAATTATGTAATTATAATATTCATCATCGGGTATTGACATATTACCGGAATTATCATCGCCCCATTTGTCATAAAACGATTCAGTTTGTTTAACAACAGTTGTAATTTGACTGGTAGATGGTATTTCATTTACTTCCTGAGCCTCTTGCAATTTAATATAATCTTTTATATAGTTTTGCGTCATCTTGCGATCTGTCCCTGACAACATACGTAATTGCTTGAATTTGGGACAGAGAAAAAGAGAAATAAAATGATACTTGTGTAAAACAAATTTTTTAATTAAAAAAATGCTTTATATTAAGTAAAATCAATTTTATTTCTCCTTTTTCGCTTTGAAAGGTATTGAAAAACTTCAAGAAGTGATATTCCTTTATTTGATTGTTTTGGTAAAATATACTCTAAAAATTTAGATATGAATTATAAAAAAATATATTAATAATACTTGAATATTGGGGCTTATTTAAGATATTCCTTTATTTGATTGTTTTGGTAAAATATGTTGTAAAAATTTAGATATGAATTATAAAAAAATATATTAATACTTTGAATAAATTTGCAGGAAATTAATAATTAGATTGATCTGTGGGTATTAGGTAGTGTTAACCATCCCTCAATATTATATTAATCATAACTGTAATATAATATAATCTTATAACCATTAACTCATAATATAAAAATTTTTATAAAAAATATTAAGGCCCGGCCCGGCCCGGGTTTAACAATCTTAGGCCCGGCCCGGCCCGGCCCGGCCCGGATATGTTAAAAAAAAAATTTTTTAGGCCCGGGCAGGGTATATTTAAAAAATTTAAAATATGGCCCGGGCCGGGTTTAGGGCCGGGCCTGCAGGTCTCTGTGTGTAAGTAATTTATAATTGCAAAAGGAAGTGTAGAATATCATAATAAATCTAATTGTATGGTTATTTTTTACTTACTGAGTGGAATAAAAAATTTTCAATATAAAATTGCATGTCTCTTAATCCTTATAAAGAATAAAAATATTCTATGTATAATCAAGAGTGGAATGAAATGTTCAATAACCAAATTGTGTGGTCTTTTAGATCTATCTGATATACACAACAAAGTTATAATAGATCAAATGTAACTATTCCAGTTTAAAGGTATATGTGTAAAAAAAGATGTATTTATCTACATTATAGTTAATAAATGCTACTTCCTTAAAAGGGATTTATAGATGCAATATCATTACAGTTCTAAAAACATGTCCATAATTAGGGTTCCACAGGTACCAAAACCTTTCTTTAGGTGTAACTAAGGGATTCACAAATGCAAGATCATTACAATTCTTTATATGTCCATAATTAGGTTTCCACAAGTACCAAAACCTTTCTTTAGATGTAACTATCTATGTACTGACCAGGATTCAAATGTATATAAGATAGGAAAATTCATGTTATAATTATAAATTGTATAAACTGGAAGTACATAATTAACAAAATATCTTATCTTGAGGATCTTCTGATAAATGTAAAGCTTCTTGAAAATAATTCCATAACTTTGAATATTCTTAATAGGACTTCAATTAGTGTTTACATGACATACCCGCCACCGATACTATAGTTTGATCTAAAAAAATAAATATACATTATAATAATAACTTCTAATATAGTATTGAATCTTGGTATTCTATATTGTGATTGAGGATAACAAATTTTATTTCGTTCCAGTCAAATATTTAATATGTTAATATCGAACACGAATGATTGAAACAAACAACAAATTTTGATAAGAGGCCCTCTCAGCTGACCTTAATTTGTTGACGACAGGTGAATTCAATTTTTGCCACTTCAAATACATTAATCTTTAAGGAGTGACAGAAGAATTTTCGTAGCCAGCAAAGCCTTTGAGGTTGATGACATGAGTGGTGGAAGATTACATGATGCATACAATAAACTCAAATATTTCTGTAAATCTAAATTTCTTAGGGATTTACCTTATATACGGTTAGGAAATGATAAGATTATATTTGATCAGGATGATCAAGTTTCCCTCTGGACCGACTACTATATGACTATCTTCGAATCCAGAAAACCCATGATGGTTTCTCGAGAACAAGATTTTACCACTCTATCTGCCTCCAATTTTACATTGGCTGAGATATCTAATGCCTTAAAGAAATTGAAAAACCATAAAGCTCCTGGAACAATTGAAAGCTGCACTTGACGCGGTACCACGTTTTTTGCTTATTATTTTTAATAAGGTATGGGCCTCCGGGACAACTCCCAAAGATTGGAACTTATCAACGTTATGTAATTTTCCAAAGACTCCTAATCCCATTAACTTTCGGGATTATAGAGCTATAGCCCTCACATCTACTGCGTCTAAAGTCTTTATGGTTCTACTTAAGACGCGTATTTTACAAACATCTCATAATCTCTTCGCGAAATACATTTGCGCTTATCGTCCTGGTAAAAATATCTTAGAGCCTTTCCTTGCTCTTAAAATCATAATTCAAAAATGCGATAGATATAAATTACCTTTCTTCTTCACCTTTATTGATTTCAAACAGGCTTTCGACAATGTCAACCATGAAACACTCTGGGCAACATTATCAGAGGTTGGAATCGACCCCAATATAATTAGAATATTAAGGCATCATTATAATAACTTGTAAACCACATGCAGAATAAATAACAATGTTTCCCCTCCGTTTAGGATAAGGAAAGGAGTAAAACAAGGCTGTGTCCTTTCTCCTATCCTTTTCAATATCATAATGAATAAAATTCTTAGAGATACACTAGGTGCGGCAAACTTGATGGAACTCAACGCTTCATTGAACAACACGTTTCACCTAGAAAATAGAATCATCTCCTACGCCGACGATGTGGTAATTATCACAAGGGACCTTGAGGAAACTGTGAATCTAATCCAACTACTGAAACTTGTGAGTTTGAAAGCTGGACTAGAAATTAATTTTAAGAAAACTATGATCCTCCCAGCAAGGCATACGCCTCCTGTGGGAAATATTGTTATCGGATTGGAGACTATTAAAGTGGTTACTCAAATCAAATACCTAGGTATTACTTTAAATTACAGAGGAGGGTGTAAAGAGGAACTTAGGCTGAGATTACAAAAGACCAGGGTAGCCTTCTATAAATATTTCAAGCTCTGGAACACGAGAGAAATTCTCACCCTCACTATTCTACGGTGATTCCTATTTTATTATACGGTTGTGAAACTTGGGAAATCACGAAAGCAGAAAACAAAAGATGCCAGACATTTATAAACAACAAAATACTCAAGAAGAAGCGTATACAATTTCTAGCTCATATCCTTAGACACCCCAACAATAACTTAGTCCATGACGCCTTAACGTGGCTCTTTACTTGCAGAGGTAAATCATATAGTAGATATAAAACGCTATGGTTTCACCGTGTCCTGAAAGACGTTACTGATCTAAACATTAATTGGAAACAGTTCATTAGACTGAATAATAATAAAAATTCTATTAAAAAGCTTCTGAAGATCAAGTCTAGATACCGATGAAATTCCTTAGCCGTTACCAAACCTCTTCTTCCCCCTCTTTTTCTACTCGATTACTTTTATAGTACAGGTTTCTTCTCTCTTTTAATTATTACATTATATATATGACTCGTCAAATATTAACTTAAATAGCCCCCCATTTTCCAATTTTTGATTTAGATACAATTAGGTTTATAGGTATGGGTGTGGGCTGTCTTTTAGGCTTCCCCCTCTTAATCAGCCCACAGACGTTTAAATAATAGCTTATAAACTATTATGCGTACAAGTATGTGCGGCTTGCCCACAAACGTGTGAAGGGCTCCTCATATTTTACTTTATACCTTAACTTAATTTCTCCAATTAGATGGAAATGAGGAAAACCTAGCGTAGCTCTGTTGTACCTACAACATTGAGAGGGCGCATGCGCTTTATTCCGTATTCCGTATAATCGGCAGTCTATAGTATTAATGTCATTGGTGCAATATATCGAGTTGGTCGATGTTTACTATTATTATTATTATAATGGGTCTAAAATAAAAGTATTAATTTTTGCAACAATACATTTTGGTTTTATCTTATAATTTAATAGATAGCTCAATATATTTATCCATACCCTAGCCTACCCCTTTTAAATGTTTACCCTCTACCTTCTTCCCTTCAAAAAGTGAATGCAAACATGTTCCAACCCCTCCCCCCCCCTTTGGCTTACGTAGATGCTTGTTGAAATTAAATTTGATATATAAATTAAATAACATATAGGATATGTTCTATAATGATATAGCACATGAAATATTTGATTTGCCATGTCTAATAACAACCTAATATGTAAAAGGACTAGATCCGAAGTATTGGGTATAGGTAAGTTGTAAAAAGATAAACCATAGTTATATAAGTGCTATACTAAAACTACACCTAATATAATATTAATAGAGGTTAAGATAAAAAGAGGATGGGTAATCAATGATATCATTGGAATATATACAGGCTTAGGAAACGAGCTGCGAAAATTAGGCAAAACTTGACCAAGATTTAGTGTTAAGTAATAAATTATCAAAATAACTGTTTGATACGTAAAATAAAAGTAATTTATTGAAATAAATATTTAAAGAGGCTTACCTGAAAATATCGTGTCGAATAACCATCTAAAGTGTAAAAGGGGTAAGTTCAGGAATATTATGATAATTTAAATAGATTAGGTGTACGACTATATAAAACTGGAGAAAAGAAGATAGATCAGATGTGTGATGTGATACGATAATGGCATTAATAGAAATAAGATTTAAAAATCTTTTTAAATATCCATCCAATTATCATATGATTATGAATTTTCGATTTTCATAAAAAAAGTGCTAGATAAGATAAGAAAAAGTAAAGAAATGAGTGCCATCAAAGATAATGCATCTATAGAAAGGTCTAATTTACTAAAAATCGCTGAGTATGCCATTAAAGAAACAATTAACGTTTCTCTTAATGAGTCTAATCTTATGGAAAATGAGTGCTTTCAAGTTAATCAATTTTTAGCCATAATTGATAATATATTCTTACATGGAATAAAAAGTTATAATATTTTTAACGAACTATATGTATTGAATTTTATATTAGGATCAAACCGTCAGTGTTGGAAAGTTTTAACTGAATTTTCTAAAATTAATGTTTTACTTAAAGAATCAATTGAAAACATTACAAATTTACCTCATATTAAGTATATTATAAATATTTTTAATGTTAAATTAAAATTTAATCAGAACAAATTTAGGACGCCTTAGAGCTTGGATTAGACTAACTTTAATGCAAAAAAATTTTGCCGAATTTTTTACACAACTTATTGAAAATCAATACTTATTAAAGTAATTTGACGTATATTCTATATCAGATTATGATATTTACAAATATCTTTGTTATTTATACATGATAGTTTATTTTTATTATAAATTTTTATAATTCATATGATTTCAAAATAGGAGTATGTGTTACATTAATTTACTAAGCTTTCTGCAAATGGTTTTTGGACTGGCCCTGTAAACTTGCTCAATATTGTTTTTACGGACTAGGCTAAACCAATATTTTAAAAAGGAAAAGGCTTAGAATTATGCTAATTTTTATCCTTTTCCTTTTTAAAATTTTTTTATATGATAGTAGGACAACTTATACAGAATTATTTTATGACCAGGCTAGGAAAAAACAAGTCAGGCTGGAGAAAAAATAATTCAAGCTGGCAAAAAATAATTCAGGTTGGGCTGATACCATTATTTAAAAAATTTCACTGGCCAAATTGTGGCCAGCCTTAGTTGACCTCTATTCAGCATAAACATGCCGACATTTAATTAGAGCACAACCAAAATATTTTCTATTTGAGCAAGGTCTTTTATAAGACAGGCATCTAGATATTTTAACAACTCTTCCCTGATTCATAATATAAAATATATATTAATATTTATTTTTTTAAAATATATTAAATAATTAAAGCCAATATTACGAAAATTATGGATTTATTCTCAATGAAGAGGCTCAAATAATATCTGGACTTCTTTTAAGTTTAAACTTCACTGATTTCATATTTTGCTTGAAAGAACAAAACTTGGATGATATAGTAAAATCTTTTATCATTTATTATATTATAATATATTTTATTTAGATGCAATTAACTCTTTATCTGTTATAACATAGATGGCTCATTATTTATTTTATTATATATAAAAAAAATATATTAGGAAGTAGAAAAAATAATCTTCTTTAAATACTCATTCTGTTCATTTGCCCTAAAATTAATTTAAATTCACCCACCAGCTCGCCCATTGTTTTTAAAATAAACCTGCCTGTCCAAAAGGTAAATTTGTTTTAACCAACCCGCCCATTGCAAACCACTCCCCTCTCCCTTGAATTAACCTCTTCCCCACTATTTTAAATTTGATTAATTACTTGCATAGACCCAGTTTTAGGTCCATTTTTTTGCAAGCTTGGCCTGGAATCTTTTTAAAAATTTTTTGGCCTGGCCTAGATTTTTAAAATCATTTTACAACCCAGCTTGAACATTTTTTAAAATTTCGTTATTTAAAATGATTTTGTTTTTTAAGGGGGGGGGGGGGATGGAGTGCATTTATTAACGCCTTTTTATAGTAAGCGTGATTTGTGTGAAATTAATTACCAGCGACGGATATTTTTTGAAATATACATAAACAGCTGTCACGATTTCATTATTTAGGCCGCATTCATAATGGGATCCGATAAGTGCTGTAAAAGCTACTTTAAAAAAGAAACGCGTTACTCGTTACATCAAAAAAAAATTACTTAAATATTATATACAAAATTTCCTGTATAGAAAATATACAAAAATAATATATTATAAGATGAGATCTTTTTAGAATAATTTTTTTTTCTTATATAATAAGAAGATTATACAAGAATGATATATTATAATGTAAAGTAATTTTTTATATATTTTTATCAACAATTAATTTTCAAAATTTCGATCATACAATCAGCACATTTATCGCTGTGCTAAACACGTTCAACTGGGGCAGAGGATGGGAGGGTTGTATTAAATTTAATGAAATTGAATAAAGCTTAATAGATCATTTTCAAAAGTATATTCATTCAGATCCTCATCAATTTTTTTTTATCTTTATCAGGAAATTATGTGGGTTATTTTCTAGAATCAAATTCTGCTATTTCTTTGTCAAGATATTTTTTTAAATTGGAAATAAGTTCAAACTTTCTATCTTCGTTGACCTATAATTTTATGCAGCGCCTATCCAATTTGAATGTCAATTTTTTCTGATTATATATATCCATATTTATAGATGCGAATCTATTGATAATAAATATGATCAAAATATAAATTGTAAACAATATTTCACTGTATACCTTTTATTTATGTCTTGCAGAATTGCATTAATAAGGGGCTTACAAAACTTGAATTATTTAAAGCAATTTTTTTAAGTTTTAATATTGCAATAGTTATAGTGGGGGTGAGATATCCCAAATGTTCTTAGGTTCCATAACATATAAAATTATATATTTTTTAATTAACACCAATCATACAGTATATCTATGAACGATTTGTCATTATCTGAAAATCTCAGTAATTCAGATTTATATAAATTCCGACAAGATTTAACAGCTTATCTATTTTTAAAATCAGTTTATGAGACCAGTTTATCATTATTAAAAAAATATTTCTTAGATTATTATTATTATAAATAAAATTAAGAACAATATTAATATTTAAAACAATTCTCATAAACAGATTTAAAAATTCGATCAGCTGTTAAATCGTGTCGGATCAGATCCCACTATGAATGCGCCCAGCTCCTTTATTAATTTTTATCAATTATTAGCTTGCTTTCGTCGCAGCGATTAATTTTACATTGAGTAAATTGCGTTTACTATAAATGCAGTGTAATTGATATAATTTAAATTTATATTTTCTCCGCCCAGTCCTAATTTTTTAAGCCTAGACCAGATTTTTAAAATCATACCTTTTTTGATCAATTCTAGGACGGGCGGCAGGTCCTCTGATTTTAGATTTAAATGATATGTTAATCAATAAAATAGATTTAAATAGCAATCAAAAATAATTTAATATAATTTTGGGTTTTGTTTTTTTTATATACAGACCATATAGTAAATATAATCATTTTTATATAATAAATAGTTATGATATCCGACATTACAGGTCTGCAAAGTTATTTTTTCGCGGCCCGAGCCCTACCCGAGCTCGAATTTAAAAATTTTTTGTTCGAGCATACCCGATCCCGAGCACACATCTTTAGATCCAACCCGATACGAGCCCTACTAAAATAATTTTATAATTTGAGTTCAAATATTTTAATATTTTAGATACAATTAAAAATTATATGTATTTATTCACATATTGCCACCTTAAATAAAAGTATATTTAACTCCGATAACCTAATCAATATTTATATGAAGTAGCATTTTATTTAATTTGTATACTTATAAATTTTATTCAGTTTAAATATAAAAAGTAAAGTTAAAATACAATCGAATTTAAAAGTTATTGTGACTATCTAAAAATAATTTGCATGATGGATGTCGAAAATAGATGATATAATTGTTTATATAGAGATAAAATTTCAAAAAATATAATAATAAACATATTAAAAAGACATATCAGTATCAGTTATTCTGATTGATATTTTTGTGAAATAATTTTTTTTTGTATTATTAAGGATATTTTCGGGTCGGACACTTCTTACAGCCCAAGCCAAGTCTGAGGAAATTTTTTTTAAACGACCCGATTAAGGTTTTAACCAAAATAATATTATATAAGCCTTGAAATTTCGCATATAGAGGTCCTAATCTTTCTGCCATCTCTGAGCAAAATCTCCAAGATATAATAATTTATTTAGCTATCTTAATCATATCGTTTTTAAAAATCGCCCCGAATCAAGCCTTTTAACCACCCTACGCCAATGGTATCATATTTAAAAATATCAGTTAATGCCAGCTGGTACCAATGTTATCATTATCATAGATGTGCTAACAGGGATGGGTCCTTGGTAAAATTTGAAAAAATAATCCTGACAGTCCAAAAAAATATATATTACATAATTACAAAACGGAATAAAAAAACTAATTTAAATTATATATTGAAAATATTACGCGATGAAATATTTAGCACCCTTTGAAACTATTAGGATCATCAAATTTTATAAACCCAGATGAGCCGCAAAAAAAACTTTTACTGGTCTCCCGATCAGTACATCTTTAGGGTTTTTTTTTAAATTTAATTAAAATTAACTAGTTTAACACTCATGCAAAATTGTTTTTAAGTTAGATATTTTAATATTTTTATTCGATAAATTATTTAACCTTAGAAAATTAGTATTGATGTCGGTAGATATATGAAAATCGCTTCCTTGGACACCTTCCCTAATAACTTTTTAAACGGACTCAATAGCAATCTAAGTGCCAACAATAGTTTTGACCACGATACCATTAGCATTGATTCCTCCAAAGAGTAATTTAAGTTTTTTTAAAGAAAATTTGAAGTGTGTTTATAATTTTCAGAAAAATATTCTTTTAATGTCCTTAGTATCAATGTGTTATTTAATTTTTTTTTCATCCTTAAAACATTTATTTATTTTTTTAGATTGGATTTTTATTTTGCTGGAAATTTATTCCAGCAATTGTCTTTACCATATAAAATTTCAGATAATATGTCCTGAAACAAAATTAGATGATTTTTTTTTCAAAGTAAGAAATAAAATGCCTAATAAATTATCTAAAATTTGAAAAAATAGCACATTTAATATAGATATACTCTATTTGAAAATAGAGAATAAATTTGTAATATACTCCACTCTTTAAAATGAGAATGAATAAATACTATGTATTTCGTTATAAACATTCTTTATATAGACATAAAGATACATCAAATTCTGATCTTTTCTCCCTCTCCCATTTAGTGTGCTCGATCTGAGCCAATTTTCCTCAAATTTAAGGTTTGGACTTATATATTAGTGAAATTTCGAGGTTTAGACAATATTTTTTTGGTGAGAATATTGAATTAGCCATTTTATCGGCTCAAAATTGAGCCGTGTAACAATACTCCCCCTTCCCCTAATATTACTCACAAAATTTCTCTAACATTATCTTTGTATATGAATTACCAAGCCTATAATAAATAATTCTATTTTCTTTATAAGCCAAATTTCAAATTTAAACATTGAGCATAAAACTGATAAGCAGAAAACGCGAAATTATAGCAATGAGATTTCAAAATCATTCAAGCGCATCGCTATGGAGAGCGATATCACGCATATCATCTCTTTCAGCATGAATGCCGCCTAAATGGTAAAAGTTTTGTAACAGGCGAAAATAATGAAATATTATTGTAGGTTATTTAAAAGGAAAATCATGGCGATAAATACATTGCTTATACATGTTTAAGGAATATCAAATTTTTAAAAAAATCTATTTTTAACACATTTCCTGGGGACAAAATAAAATTGTGTCTGACAATGACGCCACCAGCTCTTATCATTTATTTTTGTAAAAAAAGTTTTTTCCAATGATATAGCCCTGACGCCCACACAGTCCACGCCTTATTGGATAAAGAAATTGTATGAGAGTTTGGCTCTTCATTGCAGTACTCCACTTTTAAACATCGAATTTATCTATATGATTTATAAATTATTTAGTATTTTTTTGTTTTATCAATTATATAATTTTTTGTTTTATCAATTATATAATTTTTTGTTTTATCAATTATATTTGTATATTTTATAGATCGGGTAGAATGACCGATATTTTAGATCAAAAGAACTATTTGGAGGAAATAAATCGACACAATAAGTTAAATGATTATATGATAAATTTCCCCTTTAAAAAAATATATTTAATACTCCATAGATTTAAATAGAACGAATACTTCCGATAGCTTGCGATGCTAGAATAATAATCTATAATTCAAAAGATGATTTTTTCCATCTTACACTTTTCTTTTTTGCTTCTATCTTATGTGATTAGTTTAGTTCAAATATTCGAGAATTGCATTCTCTGTTTATCATGTTTATTCATTTTTGAACTTGTTTCTCGTGTTATTTTCAGGGGCCTCCTCGTTGTATGCCCAAACCTTCTTCAATTTACCAATATTTATTTTTTACCGGCACTATATTTAGTACTTGTTAGGGTTGCACCAATTCATAATTTTTTCACCGCAAAATTTATTATTTATTTCAAACGGCACCGATACCGATATTTACATTGTTTTTTTCGTCATTATTATATATAATATATGATAAGGGAATAATAAAAATCTGAATATAAATATTTTTTAAAGGCGTTTTAATTAGAATATCCACTTATTCCGGCTCTTAAAAATCAAAAAGTGTCAAAGCTTTAAAATTTTAAAAACATGTCTTATCAAGATCTGTATTTTGAGATAAATGTCTTATTTTATTATAAATATACATATAGTTACATATTTGTTTTTTAATGATCAAAATTTTCACTTATTTTATTAATACAAATATGTATAAATTTATATGATCAGTGGCGTAGCTAGGAATTTTCCTTAGAGGGGGTCCATACATATAAAAGCTTGGAGGCTTCGCCCCCAGACCCCCTTTAACGGGCCTTCGACCGTTTTACCCGGCACCATATATTCGATAATATATAATAAATATATTTTTTAAATGCATCAATAATATGTTATTATAAATTAGTAGATTATTCTCAATGACTTTATAATATACCCAGAATAATTTCAATAGTAATATAATATCCTTTCACAAACATCAAAACCAAAAAAAAATATATATTAATGGTATTTATTTGATTTAAAGTCACTTTTAAGCCTTTTGAACGTATAATCTAAAAAAAATTTTTGCTCTGGGAGGGGTCCAAACCCGAAAACCACCCCCGTAGCTACGCCACTATATATGATATATGCTAGCACACGATATATATATAGATATAGGTATTAAATTTTCTATATAACAAACTATGTATCTTTATTTGAATAATAAGTAAAAATAAATTAAATATCAATATCTTTTAATAAAATAATATAATAATGAAATATATAATAATTAAAATTACAATATTGAATATTTATTTATATAAAGATAAGAGCCTCAAGTTTATGTGATAATAAGCTTCTTGATATGAGGTCTATAGCATCCGTTGTGTGGAAGACGTATTCTGAGGTAACACTTGTTTTCGGTCAAGGTTTGCCAAAGTTGGAAGCCTTTGCATTGACCCTCCCATAATCAAGATGATCAATCGGAGATAAAATGTTGATATCTTTATTAATTAACGAAATTTAAATTCATAATTTTTATTTACTATAAGTTCTCTTAATAAAAAACCAGAGTCTATCTTTTTTGGTAGCTATAGCTAATAGCCGCTACTTTTTTTAAAATTATTTAATTTTTTAGCGCGCTACTTTTTTTAAAAGTAGCTAAGTAGCGCGCTACTTCGCTACTTTTAAAAAATATAATGAATGTAAGTATAAACATGAAAATTTAAATATAATATCTTAATTAATTATAATTTTTATAATTTATTATTTAATTTTGAAATTTAAATATATTTTCAATTTTTAATTTATATTTTCAATCTGTGTTAATAATCTAAAATGGCATCGCCCATGGATATCCAAATCCTTGAAAGTGATTCAGACATGGAAGATTCAATTGAAGATGTACTTAATAGCTCTAATAACGATTTCCCATTCCCTAGATTTGAAAAATTTTTAAAATAAATATTAAAACAAAATCTGGATTCAAATTCCTGTGCTTAAAATGTAAAAAAAATATATCATCAAATCAATCGAGTAGCTATAACCTGAAGAAACACCTAAAGGTAAATTGTTATTTTTTACATTATAATATTATTTATTTTATTAGACTGTTCACGCCAATTGTTATAAGGAAATAGAAAAACATATAAAAAAATTTGGTATAAGAGAATCTTCATTCAAAAAGACAAATACTATCCAAACCAAATTAACTGATAATAAACAAAGTAATTGTTGATTTTATTATTGACACAGTTCAGCCATTGTCCTTGGTTGATAATCCATCATTTACTATGATGATTAAAACTTTATCCCCTGGCACAACAGTTTTATGTCGCCAGACACTTATGAATAAAATAGCCGACAACTTCAAAGTGAATAAAGATGCTCTAATAGTAGAGTTATCAGATATATCTTATGTATGTACACCGGCAGATAGTTGGACACATAACAGAAGGTAAAAACTTATTTATATTTATAAATTGATCTAATTAAATATTTTTAGAGCTTCCTTGCCCTCAAGTGCTAGTGTCGAGAGATTATTTAGCAAAGCAAAGCTTATACTTTCTGATCGTCGCTCTAGACTTGGGGATGATAATATTGAAATGATATTATTATTAAAATGCAACAAATTAAAATAAATATTTATTTATATTGCTTATTTTTTTATAATCTAAACTAACTATATTTTTATATTTATAAATGTTGATTTTTATATATTATTTATTATACATTTACATTATAAGCAAAAAAAAAAATAAAAAAAATTTGTTTCATTTGTTTCTAAAATTTTTTTTATAAAAAGTAGCTTAAAAGTAGTTAAAGCAAAAGTAGCTAATAGCGCGCTACTTTTTTGACAAATAGCGAAAGCGGTAGCGTGCTACTTTTTTTGACAAATAGCTATAGCGGTATACTTTTAAAAATAGCGTTTAACAACTCTGTAAAAAACAATGGATTAAACAATAGACAAATAAAAATACACAAAATTTTTATGTAATTTTCTTTTATATTAGTTTATTAATATTTACATTATCTTCTTTCATTAAAAAAATGTAAAAAAAACAATTTTTATTTTATAAATGACGCCTTCCTTCACACCTTTTTTTGTGAGTTATGAAGATCTATTACGATCGAAAAAAAAAATTAGTTCAAAAATGAATAAAAATTAAAATATGTATAAAATCGGTATCGGTTAAATTTTTTTAAAATATCGACCGATCCCACATTTGTTTTAAAAGTCCAATATCGGCTCCGATCCGATATCTAATATCGGTGCAGCCATTTATTTTTCTTTTGCCATGGATTCAGGAATTTATAACTATTTAGAGGAAATTTTGATAATATAAACTTAATTGAAGACCGATTTTCTAAATGAGGTTCGAACCGCCCTTGACCATATTACCCCGGATTTAAGTTACCCATATACCTCTCTCTGTTGGGTCTGTAATCTCAAAATGCCCAACCAAACAATTTACATTTTCATTTCCTGCTTTTATAGGCTTTTCTTATCTGATTCTTTAGGTGACCATTTTTCTGATATAGGAATAATAAAAATTATGATCATATTACAAAGTTGCGTGATAAACGAACTCAAAGACAAATACCACTCCTTCAAAAATGAAGTCGACGTTTTGAAGCGAGAAATATCGCTCATCTCCGACAGAAACATCGAACTCGAAACGGCGAATAGTTTATTGATCGCGAATTTCGAAAAACCAAAGTATTACCATAATAAAAATAACAATAAAGATGACTACAAAAATAACGGTGCCAATGGCGGCGATGACATGGTCGAGCCTTCTGGTTTTTTAAGTTCTGGAGATATCGGTATTGCGCTAGATGGTAGCATAAAAAGTTTAACTCTTTCAAACGAAATTGCTGGTTTGGCATATGAAGATGGCGTTATTTCTCAGACCGGAATATTTCAGCAGGTTTTCTTTTTTTTTGAAGTATATTGAATTTTATATATTTTAGTTTTAGGATTTTGTATATTTTTATTACGCAAATGTTTAATTAAGAAATACTTTTCATATAAGTGGTTTACTTAATGATATTGTCACCCTCCATCCCCTCAACCTTCACTTTCAATATACCATAAATATAAATGTAGATAAAATGCGTTTACATAACAATCTTATTTCAATTTTATTTAAGACTCATAATAGGAATAACTCCACCACCTCAGGTTCTGACAATAAATCGATAATTCGAACTGATGCTAACACCCTTCCAAATTTAAACAGCGAGGCTGAATTCCTGTACAAAAAAACAATCAACGAACTCAAACAATCCTTGCTCGAGGAAAAGGCGAATAAATTGGTTTTGAAAATATATTAATATTTTATCACGAATTACTATTATTTATTTTTATATTTAAAAGTGGCAATTTTTGAATTTATTATTTACCAAAATTATTTTATTTTACGTTTATATAGAGTGTCGTTTTAAATTGTCTTATGGACAACTGACTTTAGATTTATTATAATAATTTAGAAGTTCGAACATCAATATCAAACCGTTGCTCGTAGAAAGGAAGAACTTGAAATATTAGTCAAACATTTGGAAAAAAGCGATAAACACAAACAAGAATTGGTAGTCGATTTGAAACGGCAGCTCGACGATTTAAAGGCTATTAATTCTGAGATGTACACCAAAATTGAGGTTCGTAAAATGTGTATATAGACAATTTTATAAAATCGGTTGTTTTTTTAAATATAATTTTTTTAAAAAAAATTAATTATCTATCATGACTATCTTTTTTATTAAGTCGTATAAAAAGCACGTCACTTTTTCTAAATGGTACTTTTATACGAGAAATGATTGAAAATTATTAGTTATAACTATATATAATATTTTAAAGTGATATAAATATGAAACTGAAACTTTTTTGGAACCATTCTGGTAAAAAAGGCTATCAGTTTATAATTATACTAATATTTGAAAATATTTTTTTTTGGTTTCGTGACTGTGATAAATATAATTATCAGTGGGATCGTATTTAAAATTTATCTTGAGGGGACCCAAACCTAAATGTAAACCTAAAATTCATAGCTTCAGGAACCGTAAACCTATATAAGAAACGAGATTAATACACTTTTTTTGAACCGGTTTAAAAAAAGTTTTTTTTTATGTTTGCCGCCTTCAAATAATTAAAAATAGAGCAATTATCCAACTATAGTTACCACTAATGTGCTAAATTAACTAGTTTGCATGCTAGTTAATTCTAGGTTTATGAATCTTCCGAATTTCGAGTATTTTATGACTTTATTTTATACTTATGGTATACAACTAACTTGCCATTCATAACTTTATCTCTTGTTAGAGATTCGGTATCGAAACTAACAGCTTTAATTACTCACGTCAAATTTGTTTTTATAAAACAGATTTTTTTTAAAACTCCATCCCCAGAACAATAATCATCCATTTCATTCAGTCAATTTTTTCCATCACATTTATATGTAATCTTTCACCACCAACATCTGGAATTGGGAGTATCATATTTCCTACTTCCCCAAAGAGTACAGCTTTCCTCCATGTTATCACTTATAAGCATTATCTGGGTTTGTTTTAAAATTACTTCGCATTTCTTTCTAATTTGAACTATTTCCAGTTAAGATACTTTTTGGATAAAAATTTCCTATTATTGAATATTCAATTGTACAAATTTCATCAATTTTCATTTTATTTTTTAAAATTCAATTTTTTTATTAAAATTCATATACAAATATGATAAAATATTATTATTTAAAAATTAACTTTATAATATAGAGAATATAATAAAATATGTCATATATCAGTTTAAGTTAAAAAAAAAATATCAAATGGCGAGGTCGGGCCATGATGTTTTAAATATTTGATAATTAGATCTAATTATAGATACGGCGATTTCTTGCTTGAGTTTGTAAAATGGATAAAGGTATGATTTTTTTTATTGATTTGGATATTGTTTTGAATAGATCTAAAGCCGCTTGTCCAAAAGAGCAGGTTGATGTAGCTGCTATAGGAACAAAGTGGTTATCACACATTAGGTTTGAGTATTTTATATTTTTCAGAGATTCAGCTCTATTAAGGGGATCATGAGAATTATTAGATGGAGCCATGGGATCAATGCAGGTAAAATCCCACATTAAAGGCTTCCCCATGAAAAAAGGTACGACGGTTTTTCCGTCAGGGCGTTTTTTTATCTAAAAAGAATGTAGGTTCTAAAATACAGGGAAAATTGGCTTTATTTAAAAAAAGCTATTATTGCATTTATTTTATCATGTCGGCTGATTTTTGATATAAATTTACAGTGGAGATCGTATCTCCCATACGCGTCTGCCGATTGATTGCATTTAATGCAAATATAATGGTTTAGGAAATGTACGCCCAATCATTAATTGATTGCATAACGAAAATCGTCGTTATCTATTAGCTGGTTATTTCAAATACTGGGATATGATTCTAACCATTCATGGCCAGAGTTGTTGAAATTAAGAGATCTTAGGAGGGATTTATGTTGGTGATCATCGCTCAAGTTGAGGTAAGCTAAGGAATGAGATACCAATCCTTGATCCCAATCTTTTTGTTTCGTTGAATCTGGTGGGGCTGTGTTTGGTAAGCCATTAATATTCCAACAACGTAAGGCTTCATCTAATAAATTATCTTTATCGATGTTAATAATTTGCGAGGTAATATTTTTTACTGATAAGGTTGATGAGATGAAGGAAACAAGGGCTGTACTTAATGCCGATCTTGGGCATAGTCCTCCGGATTTATAAGGGAGAGTTGCTTGAAGCCTACAATCGTCAAGGTACCAAACATGTAGATTGAGTTTGCATGAAAGAGCAATATCACTTATTAGGTGTTTAAGGGTATAGCAAAAAAGTAGTGGTCCTAATGGGTCACCCGAGGCCTTCTGTAGAATTAATAATATAATCATTTGAGTAAGGAAGAAATGCCTTAGCTAAGGTAGATGTAATTGTGGTAGTCAGGGAATGTTTCCAAGAAAGTATCGATCATTTTATTCCTATTAATTGAATTAAAGGCATTGGATATGTCTAATTTTATATAATCTTCAGGTTTGAGGTGGATAAACCTAGCCGACTGCAATTGATTGCGGCTTCACAGCCTCTTTTTACTCCAAATCCCAATTGGTAAGGAGCTAAGCTTAAGGTTATTGTAGATTTGAGTCGATTACAAATAATTCTTGAAATGGTTCGTCGATATAGCTATTGGGCGCACTTGATTTTCAGCTTTTTCAAGTGTAATTAGTCGAGCACCAAAAATTATTGGTGCTAGTTTATGTGGTAATTTCCCGTTGATAATAAGATTAAAAATTTTCGTTAAAGTATTAAGTAGGAATTCGGAACTGTCTAAACCCAAGAGGTCAATAATAAATGAGGGTCGAAGGCCAGTCCTGGAGCAGAATCTTTTGGAAAAGATTTAATAGCGGTTAAGGCTTCTCCGGGAGTGATATTTATCTTTGAATTTATTATAGGCAGTATTTGAGAAGTGTATTTGGGGCTCGGATATTTTTATAAAAGTTGATTTCTTGTGGTGATATTATCGGGTGCCAAAGTGTTTGCGTTAGTAAGAGCTCGGAAAGCTCCTTTTAAATTGAAATTATTTATCTTATTATATATTAGTTCTTAAAGTCTTTTTAGCAGGATCGTTGATATTTAATGTTAATTTTTCAAAATTAGGATCAAAGTTTTCAATTCTTTCTTTGATGGTTTGTCATAGTGGGGTTGGATTATCTTTTGGTGGATTTGATAATATTAATGTTGGGAAATCAATTTTCTCCAATTTAGGTGGATTTTGTAAAATATTATTAATGATTTTGATATAAAAAGGATAAATTAATTTAAGGGCTGCTTTTGGGATTCGTGATATGGTAGGGCTAAAATAGTTTGTTAAAAATTTTGGGTATTCCAAATCAGGAATTAGATAATTTTTTATAAAGGTCTTTTCCTGTGTTGGATTTTCATTTGGTGGATTAAACAATTGATACTCATTTGGGGTTGAAATTAAAGGTGGTGGTGGAATGTCAGGTGAGATGCTAAGTGATGAAGGTTCAAGCAGGGAGGCTGGAGGTTTATTACTACCTGGGCATCTTGAAGTGAGTGTTTCATGGATGGTTATTAAATTGTTATTTTTTATGTCAATAATTCTAAAGAATATGAGCAAGTTCTCCTATTGCTCATGTTCTAGTTTTGTGATGTAGTTGGGTTATCTGAATTGCCTTTATAATGATCCAAGTATGAAATTGTGATAATGTTAAATTATAAGATACTATTGTTGTAGTTTATAACTATTTTCTTGGCAGCATCGTTTTTTATTACATTTGTTTATAGGTTCTTTCAAGAGGTTGACTTCATAATAAACCATAGACAGTATTCAATATGATTTCTATATCATTATTTCATTGCATGTTTTTATATTGAAAGATTCATGATGTTATTGTCGTTTTAATTGATTTAAATATTATTAGATTTCGCAGTAAACAGCTGTTGGATAGATATTATATCGGTGATTTATATTTTTTTTTATCTTTGCCGATCAATTCAATTTTTTTTAAAAAACAGGTGGAAATAAAATAAAGTGGAAAAAACTGAAATTTTTTTTGATGTGCAGAAGTTTGCACAGTTCGGTTTTAAAAAAATTTTTGCCCGGTCTCGATTTTTCTTTAAAAAATTTATATGCCCGGTTCGGGTATATTTAAAAATTAAAATAATGCGGTTTCTAAGATATATTTTAAAAAAATTATGAGACTAAATTTAGAAAACTACATAAAGTTAACATATTAACTTTCTTTTACAATTTATTGAATTATTTGGAACTCATTATAAAATGATATATAAAAAACTTTCAGAATTACGAAGCTTCTCTCAAGCATAAAAATGAACTCGTAATAAGACTCGAGCAAAAAAATCGTAGCGTCACTTCTGCTTTGAAAGAAATCGAGGAAAAGTATGATACATTTTTTTAAACAAGAGGTTTATTCGATCCGGTATATTGACAACTGATACCGATATTTATTTCTAATATTTTCTTTCGTTACGCTTTGTTAAATGCGTAATGATGTATAGAGTTAATCGTTATTGATTTTTTTTATGTGTTTAATGAAATATTAGATAGCGATGTAATTTTATCCTTATAATACACAAAAATTGGATGTTTTAGAGTAGCGTCTGTGGCATAGGCATATCCAGGATTTTTTTATAGGGGCTAGGACACAAATAGGCTGGCTTTTCGGACATAGGTCTTTAGGTCTACTTATTGTAGGCCTTTGGCTATATAATATTTTTTATAAAAATAATTTTGGGTTTTCACTTATTTTTCTGAAATACTTGAATTATATATAGACTTTATTTTTTAAAGTCATTAACTTTTACTAATTTTCAATTCTTCTTTATAAATACAATATATATACATTTTGGGGGATGGGGGATGTGTAAAGAGATGGGATTGGTTTGTGGCCTAATCGGTACAGTATGTGTATCACAATCCGTTAGTTCTGAGTTCGAATCCAGCAAGGGCATTTTTTTAAGCCAACTATTGTGTTGCAAGGTTTATCGCCTTTCTTAAAAAAATATTGTTTACATGTTTTTTTTATACACTTTTTCTCAAAACAATTAATGTAAACTGTTTTATAGCGCATCATATTATTTTTTCCTTACTACAAAAGAGCATTTATAAATTTGTTAAAACCAGATTCGTAATATAGTGAACAAAAACGGCAAAAAAATGTATATACACAAACTTTTATTTTTGTATTCCCTTTTCAATTTTTAATGATGTAAATTAATAAAGACGAAATTGATTAAATATAAAGAAAACTATTAAATAAAGATTAATAATTTTCGCTCTAATTAATTATCGTATATGCTTATTCTCTTTTAATTTAATGAAAAGCCACGGGTTGCTCCGTGGTGTAGCTCAGGTCGCGCTTTGCAAATAACCACCCGAATACCCTTTGAATTATCCCCTTTTAATTTTCTTGAATAATGTTTAATTTAATAAAAAACCACGGGTTGCTCCGTGACGTGGTTCAGGCCGCGTTTTGCAACTAAACCCCCCCCCCTCCGTATTCCCTTTTCCATTTGTAGATTTATTATAGACTATGACCAAAATTCCCGCCAAATCGGGTTCCCCAGTCCTCACCCCCGAAATCTGGGACCATCGAACTCAGTCGATCTCTCTCCTTTCGTTCAATCAGCCTACTGTCCCGGCTAGTGTTGTTAAACAGCTCGTTTTGATCCGATTTTTAAAAACGGCTAACTCAATATTTCGTCCAGAAAAATATTACGCAAGCCTCAAGATTTTGCTCATAGAAGGAACAAAGGTCTAGGCATATATTATCGAAATCTCGAGACTTAGGTAATATTTTTTTGGCTAAAATATTGAGTTAGCCGTTTTAAAAAATCGGCTCAAAATGAGCCGTTTAACAACATAGTCGCAGCTCAGTTTACAACACCAAGATTCTGTATTTGGAGGGATCCGGCTTGACTACCTGTTTCCGTTAATATATATTAAAAAATAAATGGGCCTTATTGTATTTTAATAAATTTAGCAAGTGGAAGAACATCATATATTATTACCCTTGTTAGAATATCATCTTATATATGTTATATCAGTTTCTCAGGGAAATATTACAAGATGATATTATAATATGATGTTGTATAATAACTATAAAAATGTAAAAAATATGATAATATAAAATAGTCAATATACTTTATTTTGATTTGCATTTTGTTTTCTACTTTATCTATTTTTTTTACTATTATATAATAATTATTGTTCTTAAAGTGACAAGTTGCTGGTTATATTTTTACGAAAAAATAACTGTAACTAATTACATTTTTTGGAATACTTTTTAAATTATGCTGAGCTATCTCATTCATTATCCTTGATGGTTTCCAAAATTTAAATCATGGTTTATTAAATATAATGTCGCAATTACATAAAACGTTTTGTTTAGTTTAGGAAATTATTTTTTTTATAGAAAAACCAGCACAATTTATTAAGTTCATATTTTTATGAAAAATAAATATAATATTGTGTTATTTTATTTACATATTTTTTAGATGCAAATATATATTATATTATGAGATTTTTTCAGTGCAATTTTTTTTATTAATTGTTATCTTCATTTAACCTTTGATTATATTTTGTATACATTTAACAATAACAAAATTATATTATAAATGATGGATTATATTGCGTTATCTTTTTAAGAGTCATAAATAATAAGAAGCTTCAATGTTGCTTTAATATCTTTTTTTATAGTAATACAATTATTTTTTTAAAAAATTATTTTTATAATTTTTTTTCATTGTATATCCATGATCCAATATTAGATATATCATAAATATACTTATACACCATTTTGATTCATTTGATCGGCCCTTTAAAAAAATAAATGATTGCTTCCCTAATATTAAATATCGATTATTTTATAAAATTTTAGGATCTTATATTAAAAAAAATTTTTTTTTTCTTCTAATTAGGTACGAAAAATTGCAGAATTACCAGTCATCTACCGAGGACATTTTTGGTAAAATGGAAAGAGAGCTTAGCAAAAAAGATCAAATTAAGTTTGTATATATATTATAAATAATACTTTTATAGGCATTAGGCCGCCAATGCTCTTAGCCATCTATATATCCTTTCAACAGCCTAAAAAGAAAGAGATTATTTTGATTTACCACGTCCTTTTTATTTTTACCGAAAAAGCTATATAAATAACTAGTAATATTTATTTAATCTACAAACTTAAAACAAACCAGAATAGGATGTCATATCTGAAAGGTTGAATAAATAATCTAAGGTTAAATAAATAAATATCAAAAATAATCTTACCCTTGAAATGGTTTTAAAATTTTATTAACCGTCGCGTAGCTACGGAAAGCTAAATTAAAAATCGCCCTTTGACATTCCTAAGGCTACGGGGAGCAATTAAAATCTTGCAATTTTCTCGAACAAAGATGGGGGGTTTACTGCAAAAAATAATTTACGTATTGTCTTGCCATTTGATACACTTTCTCAAAATATAACGCGCCATAGCTATTAAATTTTAAATTTAGCGTAGCTATTTTAGTAGCTGCTCTTAAAATTATATCTTAAAATTTTTTCCTTAAGTATGGGCTAATAAATAAAATATTGCCCCACTTCAATTATATATTTATTTATAATCTTAAATTAAATTTTTATTCAAATTTGAAATATAACTATATCACATAATAAACAATTAGTTATATATAATTTAATTATTATGTATTGTATTAGCTTTTAAGAGAAGATGTCTCAAAGTTTTCACAGCAAAGAACATCTTTTTCCATCAATAGCATCCTTTGCCAGATTAAATAATTTCTCAGGAGAACGGGATGGGATAGAGCATTAAATTTTATGAAAAGTAGTTTCAAAAGACTTTATTTGGATGATCTCAAAAAATTTGTTTAATATCATTATTTTTATTACATCGGAAATATCAACAAAAAAATTTAAGATCACGAGATTCTCTGGTTTTATTATGTGTTTTTTTTTAAAATTGAGTTTGAAGAAGATGATGATATATATTTCATGAGCTAATCTAAATCTACAGATAAATTTATCTCTAATTTCAACCTTGCCCAATTTTCTTTAAAAAATGGCAAGATCATAGCGACAATTATATTTGCATTATTATAAATATCTTAATATCTAAATTAAAAAAATAGAGAAAAAATATTTAAAAAACCTTAAGAGCAATATTCTAAACGACACATTCTTTCAAGTTTTCAGGATAGCCGAGATATTGGGTCTTAAAACCTTGGTACATATAGATTTCCACTTGGAGAATATCGAGAGCATTGGCAAAATGTTTCATAACCTATAAAATTGTTATCATATATAGAATTTGTATGTAACTGACAGCGCTTTAGTATCTAGATTTCCTTTACCTTTAATCGTAAAATAATCAGGATATAAGTTAAATCAAATTTAAATATTTCCTGGGCTTGTTCTACAATTTTTATCTCCCCCTCTTTGTTTTGCCTTTTCCTAAAAATATCTAAATTAAAACATATTATATTTATGATTACGAAAAAGATGTCATCCTCTGAAAGTATTGAAAGGATTGTTCGAATAAATTTAATTTTTTAAAATTTATATTTTTTATTTATTTAAATTATAAATAAAATAATAAAAAATTAGATAAATTTATCATTTTAAAGTATTAATTAAATTTTTTTTAAAAGTTGTTAATGTTTAGCTGGAGTTACTCCAAAAAAATGCGGCACTATTAATTACCTTCTTTTTTTAAAATAGAGTATCATCGTTACTCGAAAAATGGCGCGCTACTTTGAATAGTTTTTAAACAACATTGTATATGTTACCTTTATAAATTTATCCAATTAATCCGAATTTTCTAATACTTTTATATTATTTTTTGTAAATTTTGATTTAAGGACAACATTCCCTATTATTATAAGAATATTTTAAAAAATTGATTAAATTCTGTAATTTTTTTTATCAAATCCAGAATACAGTTGGAGAATGATTTAAAACTGGAAAGAGAAATGAAAGTATCTTTACAACATCAAATTCAAAAGGATAAGTTAGAATTTGCCAGGAGACTCAAGGAGATTAGTAAAGCGGAAGATATATTAAAGGTATTACAAGATAAAGTTAATCATTTCTTTTTTCATCAAATCAACATGAAATCAGCCCAGTGTTTTAAGGTTTGATTTGATCTAACTTCAACATACTTTAAAATGAAAAAAAAAATGAGTCCAATAAACAAAGAAAGTTATCGGGTTGTAAAAATTTCAAGACCAAGGACACTCTTGAATTTTTATTTTTAATTTCCCATGATTGGTTATTTTCTTAAAATGAATTTTTGTGATTCGCAATACGTAAAATTGACTGAAATATTCGTGATTTGAAATTAATTTAGGTAATAATAAGATAATTCCCCTTTATGAGAATGATCATCACGCTAAATTTTTTATAATAAAATAAATCGATTTTTGGTTAAGATTCAAATTTTTATAATAAAAAAAATATATGCCTTGCTAGGTCATAAATAAGGTTATTATGCTTTATTATATGAATGCATTATATAATTATTAAACATGGGCAGATTAAAAAAAAATATAGTTTAACTTTATTTCTTAATGGAAACAAAATTAAAATGATTTTTTTTTGAGTTATCATATCAAATAATAGTTTAATAATAATAAAATTTAGAAATTAATTAAAATTTATATGGAAACAAATTATAATAAAATGTTTTTTTGAAAGAAAAACTAACGGATTAAAGACAAAAAAAAGGGAATGGATTGTAAATTTTCTTTTTAAAATTTCATTAATTTAAATCAATTTAATTTAATTATGGGACTGTAAAAAAATAAGAAATATTTGATTTTTATTTCAATAAATATTATGGCTAATATTCACAGACTAAATTGATAATTGTATAAAGATGCGGAAGAACTTAAAGGGTCTAAATTATATATTTATATTTAGACCTTTAAGTATTATTATTTTTAAAAGTTCGACTTTTGAAGATTGGGCATTTCCTTTTTACATTTACGAATTCCCAACACCCGTGTAAATAAACAAAAATATTTTCTTTTGCAAACATAATTTAAAATAAAAAATTTTCTTAGTGGTAATATAATTTCCTCGAATATAATTTTACTTGTTATTTTATTTTTTCATCTTCCCCAAGGCATGAGAAATTATCTCAATAAATTTAAAAAAATGCACACAGGTCTAACATGTGATAAAAAAATTTAAATATTCAATATAATTTAACTTAATAGAAATGCATTCCTTTTTCTCTCTTTTTTTAAAAAAAATTTCTAAATAAATTGGTGAAAATGAGAAGATAAAAAAAATAAAAACCTCACCTTATATTCTAATCTGATTAGTAATTTTTTTAAAATTTATTTCTTTAAATTAGAACAATGAATATTTGCATAAACGCAACGAAGATTTGAAAAAAAAATGTTCCGAGCAAGAACAAACACTATCTGAATTAGGGGTCAAAATTAAAGAGTATAATATTTTTTTTTTATAAATATATAATATACTTTATGAATATTTTTCGGGTGGAGTTGTTTAGGAAAGGGGGAAGGAAGTAAACACTTTCGAATTTATAAACTCTTGATAATTGATGTAAATTAATTTTTAAATTCTTAAATGATTCTTATTAATTTACTCCTCGCTTATTAGATTTAGTTCAAGGCGGATGATTAATTTATTACTACTAATTTACGAGATAAAATAAATTTGCATCTTGAGTAAAAAAATGTAATTTTAAAAACTATTTTTTTCTTTCTCCAAAACTAAAAATATCAATATTAATCCCTTTTTGATGATAAATGACATTTATTCTGTATGATTTCTGACCAATTTAATAAAATAACTAATTTATTTTCAAAAAATATATATATTATAGGACAACACTACAAACAGATGATTTAAAGGATACAATGATGCCATATATAATTAATTCTAAATGGCAAAAAAATGACGAGGTTAATGAATGCCCAACCTGCCATATCGCCTTTTCAACGTTGATTAGAAAAGTATATAACTAATTTTTTATCTTACGAAATTATCAGAATTGTTTACATACACAATTCTTCACTTTAGAAAATAATAAAAACAAAAAATAAAGAATTCGAATAATTGTATTAATTCAAAATTGTTATACATCACTAACGTGTTTTCTCCTAAAACTTGAGGCTGAAATTTTCGTCTAAAATAGAGCGATTTATCAACACCATATATGATTATAGAAATTAAAATAAATCAGTTGTGTGGTTACCGCAATATCCTTTTTTTGACCTAAGTAAAAAAAGGTCGAATTTGAACAAGATTATGAAATTTTTTTTTTTGAGCCAAGACGCTTAAACAGAGAGCTAGCGAAGTTACTACTTAAATGAACTTTAATTTTGGCATTATTTTAATTTAAAAAAAATTATAAATCGAGTAGACGCTAAACTTTCTCCTTTTGATTTTGTAAACAATATGTCGCTAAAAATAACACACCTCTGGTGAGCACTCCACCCACACATTATTTTAGATATCATATCTTATTAATCATTAGGAAATTTAAGAAACAGGCCTAGACTAGCAAAAGCTGGAAAATTAGTTTTCCTTTTAAATAGTTTAATAATAAAATCCTATTTTTATTTTCACAACCTGATATAGAAATAACTGATAAAAAAAATAAAATATCGGGTTTATTCTGTCTCGCAAATTCTTAACGCCCAATCAACTGACACAATATTAATGTTTGATTTCCTGGCCACAATTTAGTCAATGAAATTGCTGGTCTAATAAAACATCATTAGCATTTTATTTTAATCTCAGACAATTTTTCATTTTATTCGAGATAAAAACCTGATATATCTATATAGCCGTGATTTGTAAAATTTCATCTCTTCGCTATAATCTATTATCTCCCCATGAATTCACATACTCACCTTAAACGACTACTTTGGGTGATACTTTTTTCCCTACTTTACAATATCAAACTAAATTTAACTCTTGGTCCAATCATAGCTTACCATTGCTAATAGTACTGGGACCCCTCTTTAATTTAGCCTTTCGGATACCTCTCTACATTTATTACTCTAATCCTTTTTGGCAAGAAAATTTCTTTAAAATAATATCAACAGGGTATAACAAACTAGAGGCCAGCAAAGGGTGAGTTCTTAAAACAAAAATCCTCTGCCCCTTTTCCAAAAAATATTTAACCCACTCGTTTATGGTTTTTTATAAAACTCATTTATCTAAAAATTTATTTAACCTGCTCGCCCAATGTTATAAAATCATTTTATTGGTTTGTTTGGCTTTTTATTTATTTTAATATATTTTTACTTATAAAATATTTGTAATAGTGTGAAATACAATTATTTTTTAAAAATAAATATAACCCCGTTCTATTCATTCCACCCGAAAAAAATAATTCAAATTCATCCGCCCTCACATTATTTTACCCGCCCATATTGGTAAGCATAATCTTCATTTTTTATAATGCTAATCCCAAAGCTAGTTGGGGTTTTTAAAATGCATCCTATCCTTCCATATAATCGACAATTTCTATATTTAACATGTTCTTGCGGATTTGAGAAATCCAAGTTAGTCATAATATTAATATTTTATAGGGCTGTATCTATTCACGTTACAAATCCGATCTGATATTCTTACAAACCCAATCTGATCCAATATTTAGATTTATTTTTATTTTCTATCTTTGAGCCAATGTCACAAAAAATCAGTATTTTCTGTGCAAAAAAACAATAGCTGTAAACTATGAGTAAAACAAGTAGCATTTTGAAATTTTCCATTTTTAATGATTAAGGCGATATTTGTTACATTATCATGAAGAATTAAGTGTTTTTTTTTATTCCCCAGAGGTTTAATCTTTTCATTTAAAATATGGGCAATGTTTATAGCTGAATGTGACTCGTTATATTTTTATACACTTTTATTGTTGCAACTAATATAACTAAAATATATCACATTTTTACTCTTTTGTCTAAAATAATTCAATTCTTTTAAAACATTACATATAATTTTGCTTCCTTTTATTCATTTTTTATTAGGAAATCATGTATAAAATAAAAATATTATATTCATAATATAACCAAAAATAATATCTAGAAATACTCAGGGATCCAAACTTTTAAACCGGTATTTTTTTATCAAACCAAAACTGTTAAATAATTTTCTACCCAACCCGCGTTAAAATGCCTCTGAACCAGTTCAAGCCTCATGATTTTGTGCTTATAAAATAATGTGAAAGTTATTACTAGTATTGCTAAAATTTTTATTAATATTAGTGCTTTAAACGAAATGCCATTATACCAAAAAAGGATCGCGTTACGGTTACTTTTTGAAAAAAGTAACTAGCGTTACTGTTTATTCAGAAATTAACGCGTTACTCATTGCTTGAAAAATTAAATATTATACACGAAAATTTGCTATATATAATATAAATAAAATTATATAAAAATAACATATTAAAAGATAAGATATTATAATTTTTTATTTATTTTTAACAATTGATTTTCAAAATGTTGATCAGATAAATAAGAGTGCTAAACAAACGTTCAACTGACGCAGAGAATGGGAGGGTTGTATTATATTTAATAAATAAAATTTTTAATTGGGGGAATTTTTTAAAAAAAATCCATATTTTGAAAAAGCTTAATAGATCATCTTCATTCAGATCCTCATCAAATTATTTTTTCTTTATCAAAAAATAATCTGGTAGTGTTGTTTTTTAAAGGAATCAAAGTCTGCCTTTTCTTTGTCAAGATATTTACTCAAACTGGAAACAAATTCAAGATTTCTACCTTCGTAGACCTATGATTTTATCCAGGGATAATTTAATTTAAGTTCTAAAACAGCAGGTTCCATAATAAGACTATCAATTTCACGGAGTTATAAAAAGAGTTCCATATAATTATAACCTGTTTAATCAGATATCTTTCTATTTTTTCCTTAAAAATGGTTGCAGTTTTGAAACTGCCCATATTTATTCCACAATTGAGGAAATATTTAAGCTGGGAAACAATTTTTAAAGTGACTTTGTACTCTTAATTTTTTTATTTGTGTAAAAAATGCTTCATATTGGGGCCAGGGCAGGTTAAATCATCTTTATTTGAAATGTACAATTGACATAATATTCTTTATAAAATAAATTAAAAAAAGTATAAATTAATATATCATGATTCATTTGATATTAATTAGATTAACAATCTTGACTGAAAATTTAAAATAAAAATGAAAGAATTTGGTGAGTAATCTGACTAAACTAGGCATAAATTATTTATAAGATTTAAAAAATAATTTAATAAAATATGTTTTTTCCATATTTTTAAAAATCGTTTTGCCTTATCATTACCAAAAAAAGAAACGCGTTATCGTTACCTCTAGAAAAAGGTAACGTCGTTACTTTACAGTATTAATTAATATCTAAAAGATTATTATCAATCAATTTTGATTGATAAGTGTCATAATTTTTATAAACTTTTGTATATTGCCATTTTATAATATTTTTTAGTTTTAGAGATAAATTGAATCCAATATATAAATTATAGTATAATAAATGACAAATTAAAGTGTAATAGTATACTAAAACTTTAAAAACTATTTTTAGAGGTACAACACAAACCAATATTTTTTGTGAACCAAACCTGAACTGTCATTTTTATCTAACCTGGAAATATTGGATAATTTTTAATGGTAAACATAGGTCTGATCCGATATTTAATACAGGCATATCTTCTAAAAAGCCAGATTTGGGTAAATTTTAAAAAATTACCCAATTTAGATTTTAGCCAAAATAATATACCTTTCTGCTATCTATGATAAAAATCTCCAGGCTTACATAATAATATTTTGGCTAAAATCTTTATTTTTTAAAAATAGATCCAAGATGGCTTTTTAACAATACTATGTACAGCTCTAATATTTATATACACTTTATAATATCAAAATTATAGGATACTTTATAGTTTTATTAATATAGCAAATACTACAATGATTTGAATATATATTTTTTATAAGAAGCACTAAATGACAATAAGTAGTTTTGTTTTTTATAATAAATATAATATAAAGATGTATTGAGTAACATATTATCTAAATTTAATTTTCTACAATATTAACATATTGAATTTTATTTAAAGCATCACTGCAGAAATTGTGGGACTATATTTTGTCAAGAATGCTCAAAATACAAGATTAATATGCCCTTTTCATCAAAACCTGTGAGAGTGTGTTTACAATGTTATGATTTATTGAATAACAAACCAAATCCTTAAAAGTTATAATCAAATTTAATGGAAATCAAGAATCTATCATTAATGCATTTACAATATTATATATCTTATTTTTTTTTCATTTTATCAAAAGTATTTATTTATAATATAATGAATAAATTTTTGAAAATAAGCTATATAATTTTATGTCAAAATTTATAAAGGGTAGAATATTTTATTCATACAGAATAATTTACATAAACTAATTACATATTTATAAATAATTTTATCCCCGTATTATCAGAATAATAACTGATGAAATAATATAAAGGATATAAAATATATACTAAAATCTTTGCTTAATGTTTGTGTAAACATCATAGTCGTAACCAATAAATCAATAGATTGTGTATCTAACTTACATAATATTAAGATACCTCTTAAGATGTAGGTAATATAAGATGATGTTTTCATATTATTCACTTGATTATTTGGAGCAGTCTTAGTTTTGAAACATAATTAAATAAATTTTAGCATTATATATTATTACTTGTAAGAATTTTGTTGAGAAAAATAAAATAGTATACGATATGAAGAATGGTAAAATTGCTGACTAAAAATGATGATTATATATAACATAAATAATAATTACATTGAGGATAAAAACTGATAAGAAGCGAGTTATTAACATCAATCGTGTGATGAAAGCCAATATAAAATAGAATGTATACCTATGATTTGAACACCAAAATAAATAATTTGATACATGTCGATTTGTATACAGCTCTGTTGGCAGATTTTGATTGTTTACAGGAGTATAGTCATGATGAGGATCATCATGATAATTTAATGAATCTTTTCTGATTATATTTTTATGATCATTAATTGATTTTTCAGATTTCATATATTTTAATCTATTTCTTATATCATCTAATATATCGGTGTTTGATGATAAATAAGTTCTTATATTATCATTATCTTCTATAATAGAACCATCCTTTAAGTTAGATCCATCCTCTATTTTAGACGGGATATCATTTTCTTTCTCAACTAAAAAAATATAACTATTAAGCTTCAAATAAATTGTAACTATTTGGCAATCCCTGAATTTTTCTTAATCTATTCTCGGCGTTTTGCAATATCTTTTGACGCCTATTTTCAGCTTTCGCTTCTTGTTCAGATAGCATGAATGCGTGCAAAAAATCAAATTCAATAACAGTGATATCGTTTTACTAGTTTTAAACATTACCTATTCGACCTATAGTCATATTAAAAGAAAATTTTTTTAAAAAAAATGAAAGATCAATGGTATGGAATACATCAATTTATAATATAAATCTAGCTCCAACCTATATCCAGGTAATTTATAATATAAATCTAGCTCCAACCTATATCCAGGTTTTTTATAATTAAGTAGATGCGTTATTTTACTTTTCTGACAGGACTTTGATATTGTGTATGGATATATGTATACGCCTTAGTAACTCCCTAGCAAAATTTAAAATAAATGATTTAAATTAATATTTAAGGAACATACTCAAATATTTAAGCTTTATATTTGCTATAACAACATGTTCATTTTATCTAATCATTATTTGGAAATATACTAGGGAGGTATGGGATTTAATAGCTAAGATCTATTGATCGCCTGGCAACCCCTCCCCCTTCCTACAAATAAAATTTTGTAATATTGTTTGCTTATATTCTATAATTTATCAAATAAAAAACAAAACATTACTCACCAATCGCATCCAAAGTAGTATTGTTAAACGGCTACGCGGTCAATTTAGCCTAAATTCTATTCAAGTTCTGAATAGTAAAACTAATTTGAAAAAAGCAGCTCAATGAGCTGCATGAATTTAAATAAGTCGACTCAATGAGTCCTTGGTGATCAGGGGTATCACTACTTTACAAACTCAGGGGGCTCAAAATTGTTTTGATAATGAAATTTTTTATAGATAGCATTTTTAATATAGTCTTTTTTAAGCTAACATTTTGAAAATGATCCTTTTTAACCTAACATTTTTAAAATGACCTTATTTATTTTAGCTATTTTAAAATGGTCTTTAGATATAAAAACTTACGGGGGGCTCAAGTCCCTGTGCACCCCATATTCGTCATTGACGCTACAGCTGGGGAGTAGATAACAGCATGGGTCAGATAATAATAGAATGGTCAGATAATAATAGCACGGTTAACTTCTCACAAGAACATACATAAGTCTTAGAATTTCTAATTTAAAAATATTTAATTCGGGCAAAGCCAAAGTGGTTGAAATTTTTTAATATTTTTCTCGTGGAATAAATAATAGCAGGTCGAAATAATAAATTTTAGCAGACTTATCGAGCTCACTCTGAAGCTAAATCATCGAGCCAACTCATGTAGCTCATTGAGCCGCTCAATTAAATTTCGTTTTACCATTCCAACTTGAGTTCTGAGTGGTAAAAACTCGACTTTTTAACAACACTAGTCCAATGGACTCTTTATATAAAATAATTGACTTATTTTTATAATTCACAGAGTTAGCATGATACTTGTTTAAGTTAATAAAAAATTGAAATTTTTATAATATCGGCAGAATATAGTTTGTTCATTATATTATTATTTGCTCATATTTTTCTTAATAAGACCTATTAAGCAGCCCTTATTTTATTAGATAGATTCTAAAACAAGTTTATTACCTATTAATGACTCAAGAAATTAATTAACATTTATTTAACACCATTTGATTGAATTGTATATAGTTTATATATTCGATTAATGGTATTCGAAAAATTAAAAGAAAAGGAAGCTTAAGAATTAAATTATTGAACAGAAAATCGGGTAGACCTGGATTTTACAAATGATATTTTAATCATGTTGTTACCTTTTAAAATATAATTTCGTGTTCTCTATTATGTAGATATGTCAAGTTCGTTTGGAAAATCATCAGAACTTTAGAGATTAATGTGATATAAGATCATTTTTGAGTTCAATCAAAGTAACCAAAGACGCCATTTCAGCATTTTAAAACTCTTTTTCAGATACCTGCAGACCTGGAAGAACCAAATAATATGATTTAAAAAATCCGAGTGGGCCATAAAAGATTAAATATCTAGGCTGGGACAAAAAAATCTCTGGCCGGGCTTTTAATTTTTTTTTTTAAAAAGAGAAAAATAATTATATATTATATATATATATATATAATTAATTATATTTATCATTTATATGGCAATGAATAAAATATATAATATTGTGTTGAAATTTAAAAAAAAATCAAAAATTAAATCAATATATTTAATAAGACATATGTTTTATCAAAAATATTAATTACTGCAAAAATACAATGAATTATCTGATTTTCTTGGTTATAACTAGTTTGTAAAACACTAAACACGATATCTTAATTAGAGTTTCCTAGTTTTTTCCTTGTTTGAATTAGACACCTGAAAAATAGAAGTTTTTCGGCCTGTTTTATGATGTTAGCTATCTTAATCTATTATTTACAAAATATTAAATAGTAAAAATTTCCCATCTTCTTATTTTTTCTTATTTATTTAAATGCATTTTATAAATTTTTGTGATTGTCCAAATTAGGCAAAAAAAGAATATGAAGGATTTTTTTTCGGACCACTGGTAAATTCTATACTTTATTCACGATCTTACCATCGGTCCCGTGGATCGTAAAAAAGGTCGATCTTGTAATACACTACTTTGAGATATAATCGGTTGATATCTATTTATTGATTTATTTTTATAATTCAATTTGCCTCTTCAGATATTATGTAAAGTATACCAATGGGTATTACATTCATCGTTAGTTGAACTATTTGAAAATTATTGTAGTTTACGTTCATATTAATCCGCAAGTCCAGACCAAACCTCAGATATAGGGGCTGGACCGGAATCCCTTCTGGAGGTCTACAAGTGGCATAATTTTTTAGGCCTGGTTCTGTTTGAATTTAGATTTTTCCAAGCCCAGCTAAATTTGTAGGTCCGACCCGCTTCCATTTTTTTAGATATAAAGTAACTCAAAATATATGTAGTTGAACATCAAAATAAACAACTATTTATAATATGAAGCAGTAGTCAAATTAAAAACACTACACTTTATGGATTATCACCTCTATCAAATATAGATTTAAGCCAACCCTTGTGCGTTACATCTCGCAGTCCAAATTTTTTAGAAAGCTTATAAGGCAGAAATCTCATAAGCAAAATATTGATTAAATTCTCTATTTTAATGTTATGTATTAAATTTATATATTCAGCAATAACCTTGATAAATATAATATTTTATTCTATTTATTAAAGGATGATGTTAAAATGAATGGTAATAATCAGGGATGTGAACCTTTCGACAAAAAAAAGGGTCCATTTCCGGGTTCGGGTCCAGGTTCAGGGAAATTAAAAATAATGACTCAAAATAAGATTATTTTTTATTCATTTATTATTATATTCATAATTTACAAATGAAAAATTTAAAAATGAAATAATTTATATTTTAGTTTTATTCTTGCACACATAATATCTTCTAAAATATCATCCTTGAGATTTCCACGTACAGTAGACAATGTATATTTCAATGATAAAAATTCACGTTCTACCCTTACCTAAAATAGATAGTTATCTTTACAAAATTATTGTACTTGTGTCGCCGATACAGCCATGAAGATTCTAGATAAGATATATAATTCTGGATATATTGAAGAATTTTCTTTCCAGAATTTTAAAATATTTATATCCTTATTTATTCTCTTAACTTCTGAGAACTTTACTATTAAAGATTCAATAGGCATTTTTGATCCTCCTTTTTATCTGATGATAATTTGATTTTTTTTTCTCTATCTAAAAGTAAAATTTTAAGATCATCAATGTTGCTATCATTATTATCACTACAACCAATAGGTATTGTCGTAGCCTACAATATATTGTAAATAATGGAGTTTTGCTTATGCCTAAATGCATAAGATGATATTTAGCCATTTGTTTTTGCTCAATACTCAATAAAACTTGATATCGAGGATCTAAATATATAGAAGCATATACAACACTATTTTGCAAATATTGTTGCTCTCGAATTTTTATGTTTTCTAATATTTCATATAAAAGGACTATAAATTTTTCCAAATCTAATCAGCATCTAATAAACATAATTGTTCTGATTGTAATCTTAATATTGTTATTTTTAAAGGAACTAATACATTATTAAGGTCCTTTAATTGGCACCAATCATCTTCCGACAAAATGACTTCACATGCTCCTATAATGAAATCTTTACAGAAATCTTTCAAACTTAATAATCGTTTTAGCATCATACAAATTGAGGACCAAAGTGTTGTGCATTATCATTTAAATTAAAATATTATTTCTAGTACTACAAAATAATTTACTTTCAAAATAATCAACGTATTTCTAATTAACATAATAAAATATTATTACACTGAAAAATAATTTATGATATCAATCTCTAAATAAAAATGGAAGTTCAGGAAGAAAATTGAAAGAAACACGGGAAGATAAAATAAAAGATTCCACAAAATAGTTAATAAAATTTAAAAAAATTATATTAAAAAAATTTATTTTTAAAAATTTTTATAACACTTGGGCCCTCCACTTTTAAAAAGGGTCCGGGTTCGGGTTCACATCCCTGGTAAAAATTCTCACATACTTTTTTTTTAAACTCTATTTATTTTTAGATTCATTAAAATTAATATTTTTCGGGCCACTATCTGGACATCTATTTTATCAATGACCTTACTGCGGACTGGACTGGGGGTTCGACCTTGATGTGGATCAATTAATATATATCATAAATTAATTATAGTGGTTTTACTGACAATCCTTATTTCATAACATAATGTTTAATTTATACTCCATATTGTTTACATTTTTTTAACCAGGATAGCTTAGGATTTTCCTTGTAGGGGAATAAAATCTTATGAGACCCCTTTTTTTAAATTTTGCCGTGAAAATATGAGGCAAAAACATATAATATTAATTTATTTGCATGAATTTATTTGACTTATCAAATTCAATAAAAAAAATCGGCCATCATAAAATTCTCGTAGCAAGACACCTCCGGATCATGGCTCGGCCGCTAACAATTTTATCTGCTAAGAAAAATGCCGATTACATTGACCGACGCTGCTAGGTTCATTATTCGATTTTTTATTATGTCGATCATAAATCTATCGAGTTAATAAAATTGCCCCCACCCATTATCAGAGTATAATTGA